TGGGCTCAAGCGAGTCTCCTGCCTCAGCCTCCCAAGTAGCTGGGACCACAGGCACCCGCCACAACACCCGGCTATTTTTCAGTTGCAGCCGTCATTGTTGTTTTGGCGGGCCCAGGCTGGATTCGAACCCACCACCTTAGGTGTATGTGGCTGGCGCCTTAGCCACTTGAGCCGCAGGCACCAAGCCTAGTTTTTCTATTTTTAGTAGAGATGCGATCTTGCTCTTCCTTAGGCTGGTCTTGAATTCCTGAGCTCAGGCAATCCACCCAGCTGGGCCTCCCAGAGTGCTAGGGTTAGGGTCACCGGTGTGAGCCATGCACCTGGCCTTCCTCGTGTTTTTCTTGAGTTTGAGATTTTTTGTCATTTGGGTCTGTGACTGTTAATCTTAGAGTTTCAAATTGGTATTGAGTACATGAGATGCTTGTTTTTCCAATCTTGTAATAATTTACTTAAGAGAATGTTCTTCAAATCTATCCTGGTTATACAAAGGATGCAAAATTTCCATCTATTTTTAGGTATGAATACTACTCCATGGTATACATATACCACAGTTTATTTTAGTTTATTTTTTTGAGACGGGAGCCTCAAGCTGTCCCCCTGGGTAGAGTGCCGTGGCATCACAGCTCACAGCAACCTCCAACTCCTGGGCTCAAGTGAGTCTCCTGCTTCCACCCCACGAGTAGCTGGGACCACAGGCACCTGCCACAATGCCCGGCTGTTTTTTGGTTGCAGCCATCATTGTTGTTTGGCGGGCCCCGGGCTGGATTCAAACCCGCCACCTTGGGTGTACATGGCTGGCACCTTAGCCACTTGAGCCACAGGCACCGAGCCTACCACAGTTTATTAATCTGTTCATGTGTTGGTGGGTACTTGAGTTGTTGCTACATGTTTGTGATTATGAACTGAGGGAAGAGCCACTAGTTTTAACTCTATAAAACAACATTGAAAGAATACATTTGTAACAAGGTACAGATAACATTAAACAGTTATTATTATGCACTAACCAACATAACAGAATACAGAAAGTAAAATTCAGACATCCAAGGAAAAACTGGACAGAAAGGCAATTAATGTGGGAATATAAAAATTCTTCACTATATTTCTGTGTCAGATCAGACAGTCAAAAAGGAGTTGAACAGTGTTACTTGAAAGACATAATGAATACATACAAAACTAGTTTTACCCACTACAAAGAAGAATACAAACTCTTATAGGCCACAGTAGTAGATGTCAATGTAATTGATTTCTTCTATGATCCTTCTAAGAAGGAGCTCAACTGACAACCATGGGACAGGTGCCCAATGGGATTCAAGCAGGAGAAAAGGAGTGCAGAATGGGTGAACTGAGCTGCTATTCTCCATATTAGAAGCAGTTGGGCACAGGGGGTAGAGGGAAGGTAAGATGTTTTCCAGACTCATGGGGATCAAGGACAGGAGTCAGCTCTTGGTTCCAGATGTGTACAGTCTAATCTACTAGAAGACAGGCCTGTCAATCAGGGGGACAGGTGCTCCAGGCTCCTACATAGCAGGCTCAGCACCTGTAGCTCAAATGACTAAGGTGCCAGCCACATACACCTGAGCTGGCGGGTTCGCATCCAGTCCAGGCCTGCCAAACAAGAGTGACAACTACAACCCAAAACTAGCCAAGTGTTGTGGCACGTGCCTGTAGTCTCAGCTACTTGGGAGACTGAGGCAAGAGAATTGCTTAAGCCCAGGAGTTGGAGGTTGCTGTGAGCTGTGATGCTACAGCACTCTACCCAGGCTTGAGGCTCTGTCTCAAAGAAAAAAAAAAGTTGCATAGCAATTCATCTTGTTCATCAGGGTTCTTTGTTTCTTCAATTGTATTGAAGTACAACTTAGACATACTAAAATGTATCCGTTTTAAGGGTTCATTTCAATGAGTTATGACAATGTCTACACCTATGAAACCACCACCACAATCAAGATAGGGAATGTTGGCTCGGCGCCTATAGCTCAACCGGCTAAGGCGCCAGCCACGTACACCTAAGGTGGCGGGTTCGAATCCCCAGCCCGGACCCGCCAAACAACAATGACGGCTGCAACCAAAAAATAGCCGGGCGTTGTGGCGGGCGCCTGTGGTCCCAGCTACTTGGGAGGTGGAGGCAAGAGACTCGCTTGAGCCCAGGAGTTGGGGGTTGCTGTGAGCTGTAATGCCACAGCACTCTGCCCAGGGGGACAGCTTGAGGCTCTGTCTCAAAAAAAAAAAAAAAAAATAGGGAACGTTTCTATCATCCTGGAGCAGTTCTTTTATTTCATCTCACAGCCTTCAGGCCCTTCCCCAATCAGTTATACAGCTGCAGACTGCTTGCTGCCTCCCATCCCCTGTTGGCATCTTGTTCAGGACATTAAGAGCACCGGTTCTGAAGCAACGTGACCTGGGGTCAGTCCAGGCTCTGATCCTGGTAGCGGTAAAGTGGGGACAAAGAGCGGCCTTTCCCCAGGCCATGGCATCTGGGCGGGTCCTTCAGGCGCTAGCTGTCATTGTTGTCATTCCAGTTTCGCGATCCTGAGTACGGAGAATGGTTTGGTTACCTGAACCGGGAGGGAAAGGTTGCCCTCACCATCAAGGGAGGTCCTTTCAAAGGTAAGTAGGGTACGGGCCGAGGCCACAGGGGCTCGTGGCACTCCACTCCCGCTGGTCCTCTTAACCACCCACCCGCCTCGCCTGTCAGGCTGTTTCCACGTGCCGCGGTGCCTAGCGATGTGCGAGGAGATGCTGGGCGTCCTGCTAAGCCGCCCCGCCCTGGAGCCTGTCCCCGACGCCCGTTCCCTGCCCGCTGTCCCCGCCCGCCAAGGCATGGAATAAAGCTGAGTCTGCTCCACCTCCCGGTGTATGCGCGTCTGTGGGCTCGCGGGAGGGGACGGCCGCGGTGCCGCACGGTGCCACTGGGCAAGCCCCCACTCGCAGGGCCGGCGCCCCGCCCCAGACGGAGCTCATTGGCCGAGCGGCCAGGAGGGTGGGCCCCACGGCCGCACACTTCCGGCCGGTGTCCGGCTCGGCGCGCACCGCCCCTTCCGCCCCCGCCCCCGCGAGCCCGGCCCTAGCCCCAACCCCAGCTTCGGCCCTGGCTGTCTCGGCATCGCTTTGGAGCGCGGCGGCAGCTGACTGCGCGTTCACCACCTGCTGGGACCCGCGACCCCGCCGCCGTTATGAACATCCGCAATGCGAGGGTGAGGGGCCGGGGAGGGAGGCTGTCCGCGCCGCGTGGGCGCCGGGCCCGGTGTCTGCGTGCGCATGCTCCCGAGGACCCCGACAGTGCCCGGCCCGGTGTCCCTGCGTGCTTGTGGCCGCCTCACACATCGGGCTGCTAGCCCCGACAGGGGCGGGTGGAGCTGGGGCGCAGGGCCCGGACTGCGAATGTCTCCTGTTCTGGTGACGTCTGGGCCCAGCGCGCGCCCTTCTTCCTGGAACCGACGAGTTCTGCACAGTGGCTGTGCTCCGGCCTGTGCACACTCGGGTATTTACAGCGCCTGCCCAGTCCCGGGGGAGGGGGCTGAGTAGACTAGGAGCAGAGTTCTCACCGGCTGAGGCCAGTAGTCACTGGCCGCGGGCTGACCGCATTCCACTGCCCACTCCCTGCAGCCAGAGGACCTGATGAACATGCAGCACTGCAATCTCCTCTGCCTGCCCGAGAACTACCAGATGAAATACTACTTCTATCACGGCCTCTCCTGGCCCCAGGTGGGCAGCTTTGAATCTTAGGGTGGGGGGGGGACCAGGCCAGGAAAATCCAAGTTGTCCAGGGAATAGTGGGTGAGGCCATAAGAGTCCGGGGGGCTGTATGGTTGAGTAACCAGGGTGTTTTCCAGCTGACATCAGGGCAGGGACAAATGAAAAGGTGCCTGAGGAAGTGTAGAATAGGGACAGGATTCCACCTCATGTCTGTCTTCTTTTGGGTCAAGAACTGGGCACAGTGAGGTAAGTCACTTAGGCTGAGGTCACGAGCCATCACAAAACTCAACACTTGCACACAGTAAGAGGCAAGCATTGGGACCAGGTGCCCTCCAATGGCTCTGCCAGTTCTGACATATAGCTGTTTTCTGATTCCTTTTTCCTCTTCATCACCAGCTCTCCTACATTGCTGAGGATGAGAATGGGAAGATTGTGGGGTATGTCCTGGCCAAAATGTGAGTCACCAAGGAGAAGGAGGGAAGCCCGGTGTTTGGGGATTGGGGCGACACCAGATATATCTGGTGGGCTCATAGTCTTTTTATCCATATACTTTAAAGCTTATAGAAAAATGGAACCGAAAGTTTCCTCCCCTCAGTTTCCTCTGTTAGATTTGTATGGTATGTTTGTTACAGATGATAAACCAAGGTAACACATTATTATGGACTAAACCCGTAGTTACCACTATGCTCACTATTGTATGCTCTATGGGTTTGGGCAGATGATACATGTTCACTTTTTTTTTTTTTTTTTTGAGACAGAGCCTTAAGCTGTCCCCCTGGGTAGAGTGCCATGGCATCACAGCTCACAGCAACCTCCAACTCCTGGGCTCAAGCGAGTCTCTTGCCTCAGCCTCCCAAGTAGCTGGGATCACAGGTGCCCGCCACAACGCCTGGCTATTTTTTTTTTTTGGTTGCAGCCGCCATTGTTGTTTGGTGGGTCTGGGCTGGATTCAAACCCGCCACCTTAGGTGTATGTGGCTGGCGCCTTAGCCACTTGAGCCACAGGTGCCGAGCCACATGTTCACTTTTTAAAATTTATTTATTTTTATTTAAATAGACTGTTTATGGAAAATTCACTTTTATTTTTAATTTCTTTCTCTCTTTTTTTTTTCTTTTTGTGGAGACAGAGCCTTAAGCTGTCACCCTGAGTAGAGTGCTATTGCATCACAGCTCACAGCAACCTCCAACTCCTGGGCTCAAGCGATTCTCCTGCTTTAGCACCCCCAAGTAACTGGGACCATAGGTGCCTGCCACAAGGCCTGGCTGTTCTTTGGTTGCAGCTCTCATTGTTGTTTGGCGGGCCAGGCTGGATTCAAACCCGCCAGCTCAGGTGTTTGTGGCTGGTGCCTTAGCCGCTTGAGCCACAGGCGCCGAGCCTATTTTTTAATTTCTTTTTTGAGACAGTCTTATTTTGTCATCTTGGTAGAGTGCTGTGGTGTCATAGCTCACAGCAACCTTGAACTCCTGAGTTTAAGCAGTTCTCTTGCCTCAGCCTCCTAAGTAGCTGGACTACAGGCAGTTGCCACATCACCCAGCTAGTTTTAGAGATGAGGTCTTGCTCTGGTTCAGGCTGGTCTCAAACCTGTGAGCGCAGGCAATCCACCTGCCTTGGCCTCCCAAGTGCTGGGAATATAGCTGTGAGCCACTGTGCCCATCACGTGTTCACTTTTATGTCGTCTGCCCATTCATTTCCTCCTCTAACCTCTGGCAGCCACTGTCATTCCACTGTCTCCATACTTTTGCCTTTTCCAGAATGTCACATAGTTGAAATCATACAGTATGTGTAGCCTTTTAAGACCAGCTATTTTACTTAGTAATTTTTATTTTGTTTTATTTACTTTTTTTTTTTGAGTCAAAGTCTCACTTTGTCATCCTTGATAGAGTGCCATGGCATCATAGCTCACAGCAACCTCAAACTCCTGGGCTGAAGCAATGCTCTTGCCTCAGCCTCCTGAGTAGCTGGGACTACAGGCACCCGCCACACATCTGACTATTTTTTAGAGACAGGGTCTTGCTGTTACTCGGGCTGGTCTCAAAATCCTGAGTTCAGGCAATCCACCCGCCTCAGCCTCTCAGAGTGCTGGGATTACAGGCATGAGCCACTGTGCTGAGCCTACTTAGTAATACTCATTTAAGGTTGCTCCTTCCCTTTTTGTGACTTGATAACCCATTTTTCTCTCTCTTTAAATTTTTTTTTTTTTTTTTGAAACAGAGCCTCAAGCTGTCACCCTGGGTAGAGTGCTGTGGCATTACAGCTCACAGCAACCTCCAACTCCTGGGCTCAAGCGATTCTCCTGCCTCCGCCTCCCAAGTAGCTGGGACCACAGGCACCCGCCGCAACGCCTGGCCATTTTTTGGTTGCAGCCATCATTGTTGTTGGGCAGGCAAAGGATCTGGATTCGAACCCGCCAGCTCAGGTGTATGTGGCTGGGGCCTTAGCAGCTTGAGCCACAGGTGCCCGGTGAAATTTTTTTTTTTTTTTGAGAGAGAGAATCTCACTCTGTTGTCCAAGCTGGAGTGCAGTGGTGTGATTACGGCTCACTACAGCCTCGAAATCCTAGGCTCAAGTGATCCTCCTGCCTCAGCCTTCTAAGTAGCCAGGACTACAGTTGTGCCCTGCCATGCTTGGCTAATATTTTTAGTTTTTGTAGGGCAAGGGTCTCACTATGTTGCTGATCTTGAATTCTTAGCCTCAAGTAATACTCCCACCACAGCTTTCCAAAGTTCTAGGATTTCTTTTTATCGTAGGACAATGCTTTGTCAATGCTGCATATATCTGGTAGATGGTACCTGGCAATTTTTTCTTTTTAGAGACAGAATCTCAGAATTTTGCCCAGGCTAGAGTGTAGTGGCTCTTCACAGGTATGATCATGTCACACTATGCCTTGAATTCCTGAGTTCATGTGATTCTCCTGCCTCAGCCTCCTGAGTAGCTGTGACTACTGGTGTGCACCACTGCACTTGGCATGCATGGGTTTTTGAGGCAGCAGAGGGTGATAGGATCACCTGCTCTGATCTAAGAGGTTCACAGTTCTTCCCCAGCCCAAGTCTTGGGCAACCAGAAGAAATTTATGCACTTGCTCAATACATGTGCTGGGGTGTGGCTGTATCTGTACCAGGTTCCTTTCTAGCTCTCTCCTTTCTTCTCTAGGGAAGAGGACCCAGATGACGTGCCCCACGGACATATCACCTCGCTGGTACATAGGCCCCACCTAGGCTCTGGTCAGGGTGGAAGTGAGGGATAGTCGGGGCAGCCCTCACGGTCCCACCCTCTGCCCACCCTTCTCCTACCAGGCTGTGAAGCGTTCCCACCGGCGCCTTGGCCTGGCTCAGAAGCTGATGGACCAGGCCTCTCGAGCTATGATAGAGAACTTCAATGCCAAATATGTCTCCCTGCATGTCAGGAAGAGGTGGAAACTGGACTAAGGGGAGGGAGAATTGGTAGAGGGGAGGGGGAGGAAGAGATACCGTCTTGATGGGGGTCTTGGGATGCCTGGGCTTTTGGAGATCTGGGAAGTGGGATTAGTGGGAAGGGGGAACCAGGAGGAAGGGCAGGACCTGGACATGCTGTCCCTGCCTGGCCAAGTCTGTGCAGCAGTGCCTTATTCCCCTGCAGTAACCGGGCTGCCCTGCATCTCTATTCCAACACCCTCAACTTTCAGTAAGTAGATCTAGATTTTCCTAATGTGCTGAGATGTCTGACCCATCAAGGCAGCTGAGAAGGACTAAGCAGTCTTCCAGGCAGAGGGGTGGGGGTGGCTGAGAGTGGGAGAGGCTGTGGAGCCCAGGCACTACCAGGATACTTCCTCCACACTGGATGGCTGTTGATTGAAAAGCTGGCGTGGCTAGGCGCCTATAGCTCAGGCTAGGCGCCTATAGCTCAACCGGCTAAGGCGCCAGCCACGTACACCTAAGGTGGCGGGTTCGAATCCCCAGCCCGGACCCACCAAACAACAATGACGGCTGCAGCCAAGAAATGGCCGGGCGTTGTGGCGGGCGCCTGTGGTCCCAGCTGCTTGGGAGGTGGAGGCAGGAGACTCGCTTGAGCCCAGGAGTTGGAGGTTGCTGTGAGCTGTGATGCCACGGCACTCTACCCAGGGGGACGGCTTGAGGCTCTATCTCAAAAAAAAAGAAAAAAAAAAGAAAAGAAAAGCTGGCGTGGAAATGGCACCTGCTAGCTGAAATGTGCTCAGTACATGTTGTCATGGGGAGGAAGTTTGGTGCGCCTGCTGGGGCAGGTGTGATGGCTGGGTGCCAGCTGCAACTGGTGAAGCACACTGTGGTGAGGAGTTACTAGTGAAAGTCTTGGAGAGAGAGGTGTGGGCCAGGGGCACAAGCAGATGCTGAGGAGCAGGACTCCAAGGGAGTAGGCACCTAGAAGCCTCAAGTGAGAGGAGAAGAGTGGAGAAGAGCCATCAGCAGTGGCCCTAGCTGGCCTTGTGGATGGGGCAGGTCTGCTCAGGGACTCAGGAGACTCTGTGTGCTCAGCCTATGGGACAGAGACCTGGCAGTGAGTTGGTGTGCCCACTAGAATATGGCAGAAAGCACCTGAAAGTGAGGCTGGGGTTTGTTGGCTGAGGAGGACCCACTGGGGGATGAAGAGGGTCTGCTGGGACAGGCAGTGGCTTCCAGAGTGTGTAGGGGCAGGATGGTTGACCTGGATGAAGACATCTCAGGGCTGGTAGGGCCCTTCTAGGTCAGCAAGCCCAGCTCTCCCTCCAGTGGCATGATCACTCATGTCTGTGTATACACTTTCAGTGCTACTGAGGGGTGACTGCCCTTGAACAGAGGCCATAGCCCCCCTTCCCCTGTCTGGTCGCTATTGCTAAGCCAAAGAATTGGCTATGTGCTTAGTAACTGATGGGAAGGGCAGGGAGGGAAGGGAAGGGGTGACTGTAGGTCTTCAGCTCCCAAGAAACCACTGAAATAGATCCATAGTGGCCAGGCTAGGGGCACAGAATGGTGGCAGGACCAGGGTGGGGGTGGGGTAAAGGCACTGGGCACTATTTACTGGTGGGCTTTGTTAGAGGAGAGGGAAGGCAATGTTGGAAGTGGAGTTACTAGAAAGAATCCTTTTGGGCTGGCTTGCTCTCTCAGGAAGGGCCCTTCAGGGAGAAGACCTGACACTTGCTCTGTTAGCATAGGATACTAGGAGGCTGAGGACAACCTGCCCCCAGGTTTGGGTCTTCCTCCTCGCTCTCCACCCTCTGCCCCCAGGATCAGCGAAGTGGAGCCCAAATACTATGCAGATGGGGAAGACGCATACGCCATGAAGCGAGATCTCACTCAGATGGCTGACGAGGTAAGAGTCAGCTGGGCCAGGGTGACAGTCCTCATGAAGAAAAGCAAGGCAGGTACGGGAGGCTCTGCCAGGGGCAGATGGCAGCACTTGGGAATCTTGAGATAGGAGGAGGCCCACAGTAGCTAGAGGTGAGACTGACTTTGGGTGCCAGCCCTTGTGGCTCCATTGCTGGAGGTCATGGCTTCTTTTCACCTAATTTCCCTAAGCTGTCAAGTGGGAGGGGGCCTGGGCTGTGCCTGAGGAGGCTGACCACCCAAGATTCTGTTGTCTGAAGAAGCCCATAGGTAAGATATGAGAGGCAGAGGGGATTTTCTAGAGAAGTGGGATGGCCATGGCCTGTCTACTCAGGAAAGACAAAACAGGGTGCAGAGCAAGTCAGGGTTCTGCCCAAGGCTTCTGGGGAGGCAGAGCTGTTCAAGGGACATAGCTTTCTCATGGGCTTCATAGCAGCCCCTGGAGGGAGGTATGATCACTGTCATTTTAAAGGCATGATAAGGGGGGAGAGAGAGAGAGAGAGCGCAAGCGCGCAGAGCTAAGACTCAGGCCAGGGCTTTCTACTCCGTCCTCAGTTTCCTGCCCTGGTTCTGCTGTCTTTCATTATGCCCCTCCCCCCAGCAAGTGAGCCAGGCTCCCCTTGCCACCCCCCGAAATGTCTGGAAACTTAGATTCCCATCTCTGCTCCTGCTTCTTCCTGGTCTCCTGATGGCAGCTGAGAAGGCACTTGGAGCTGAAGGAAAAAGGCAGGCACGTGGTGCTGGGTGCCATTGAGAACAAGGTGGAGAACAAAGGCAATTCAGTTCCAAGCTCTGGAGAGGCCTGTCGTGAGGAGAAGGGCCTGGCTGCTGAGGATAGTGGTGGGGACAGCAAGGACCTCAGCGAGGTCAGCGAGACTACAGAGAGCACAGATGTTAAGGACAGCTCAGAAGCCTCTGACTCTGCATCCTAGAGCCTGCTGCATCCCATCCTCACCCCATGAGCTTTCACAATAAATTTCACCGTGTGCCCCTGGGAAATTCTTTGTGTGTGCACATGCCCACATTTAGGGTGGGCCACTTCTCTTCAGAGCAACCTACTAAGCCCAAGTAGAAGGGAAGAACTTTGTTAAGACTTTCAGCAGCTCTGGGCCTGGTAAGCCCAAGACCTCTGCCTGGGAGCCCTGCTCTGCCACTGCCTTGCTACTGCTTTTTTATTTTATTTTATTTATTTATTTTTATTTTTTTTGAGACAGAGCCTCAAGCTGTCCCCCTGGGTAGAGTGCTATGGCATCATAGCTCACAGCAACCGCCAATTCCTGGGCTCAAGCAAGTCTCCTGCCTCCGGCCTCCCAAGTAGCTGGGACCACAGGCGCCTGCCACAACGCCTGGCTATTTTTTGATTGCAGCCATCATTGTTGTTTGGCGGGTCTGGGCTGGATTCGAACCCGCCACCTTAAGTGTATGTGGCTGGCGCCTTAGCCACTTGAGCCACAGGCACCAACCCTATTTTATTTTTTTGCAATTTTTGGCCAGGGCTGGGTTTGAACCCGCCACCTGCGGTATATGGGGCCGGTACCCTACTCCTTTGAGCCACAGGCGCCACCCTTTGCTAATGCTTTTCATCTTTATTAACATGTTAGGGTGCTGTAGATCAGGCGTCCTCAAACTACGGCCTGTGGGCCACATGCAGCCCGTCAAGGACATTTATCTGGCCTGCTGGGTGTTTTTGCCACCGCTGCCTGTCCTGCTTAGCAGCTGACTCATCCTGGAGCCCACAGTCTGGCCCTCCAGTGGTCTACACAGTGAACTGGCCCCCTGTTTATAAAGTTTGAGAACCCCTGCTCTAGATGATCTCTCAGCCCCTCCTAACCCTCCAACACTGTGTTTTGAGGGGCAAGCCTGGGCTAGTAAGCTTCAAACCTCAAAGGTGGTTCTCCCATTCCTGGTGGCCTTTGTTGCATCTGCATGGTGTGCTTGAGTATCCCACTTCCAGCCCTTTTCTCCCTATTCACACCTGCTTTCAGCTGCAACAGCTCGAGTTCATACACCCTGGGCTCCAGATGTGGATGTCCAGATGCTCATTGGAGTTACCTACCTATAGATGTCCTATCTGGGTAATGGCTCAACCAGCAATGCAATTGCTCAAGCCCTGTCAACTATCCTCAATTCCTCCCTCCCCTGCCACCCAAATGGTCAGCAAGTACTGTGTTTAACTACATAATACCTCTGATGTCTGCTCCCTAACCTGAGCCCTCATTTGAAAATTAGACTTTTGGCGTGGTGCCCATAGCTCAGCAGTTACAGTGCCAGCCACATACACCAAGGCTGGTAAGTTCAAACCTGGCACGGGCCTGACAACTACAACCAAAAAATAATCAGGCATTGTGGTAGACACCTTAGTCCCAGCTACTTGGGAGGCTGAGGCAAGAGAATCATTTAAGCCCAAGAGTTTGAGGTTGCTGTGAGCTATGACGCCATAGCACTCTACTGAGGGCGACGAACAACATAGTGAGACTGTCTCAAAAAGAAGAAAAGAGGGTGGCGCCTGTGGTTCAAAGGAGTAGGCCGGCCCCATATGCCGGAGGTGGCGGGTTCAAACCCAGCGCAGGCCAAAAACTACAAAAAAAAAAAAAAAAATTTAGATTTTTTTTTTTTTTTTAGTACTAGATTTATAGAATTGATCAGATGTACAGACTTCCACCCACGCCTTCTCTGGTTAGTTTTGTATTAGATGGTCTATTTGTTACTATTGATGAGCCAATACTGACACGTTATTGGCGACAATAGTCCACTGCGTTAGTCATGTATCCACCATTACGGTTTCATGCAGAATATAAATCCGGTTTTCCATGGCCTTACTCTAGCCCTAACCTTTGCGCCTTTCCTCCCTGTCCTTCCCTCAGGCTGCAATGTTGTCACTTGCTGCTTCTAGTCCCTGGGTGGGCTCTGCAATCCCGAGCTGGCACTATACCGTATTCCTCTGTACTGTAGGTGGCACACTGCTCTCCTGCTAAGTTGAATAATTCGCCATCCTGGCCTGGAGACTGATTCTCCCTTTGGTCGGCGTCTGGCACGTGACTAAGAACATGAGCAGCCGGCAGCCACAGAAACCGTGACAAGAGCACCGGAGTGTTGGGCGGGGACCGGGGCCAGCACACGCGCGCGCACCGCTCTCCCGCTCCGCTAGGGCGAGGCTGAGTTCGGATTGGCTCAAGTCGCAGGCTTCCCTTTGTATGGGTCGGAAGCGGGCCCTCGGGCCGCCCCCTACGTGGCGTCACTACCTTCCGGTTCACCAGCCAGCAGCGGGCTTCGTTCCCAGGCTCTCATTGGTTAGGCGGCACTGGGCAGGCTCTGCGCGGCGGGGAGCGCGGGCATGCGTACAGGTTCCGCCGCGCCCCCGCACCTCTGGGAGGGAGGGAGCTGGGACTCCCACGGAGCCGTGCCGCGCCCTCCTTTCTCTTGGCCAGCAGCTCTCTGTCCTACGTACCCTGCGTCCCTGGCGCACTGGTGGGCTCGCGGCTGCTCCCTCCGCCCCTAAAGGGTTAGATCCTCACCTTCTGCCGGATAACTGGCTTTTGGGTCTGTGAAGGGGAACAATGGAGTTGGGTAGAGCGATCATTAGGGGCAGTTTCATTCAGGTCCTTAAGTGACAGTACACTGCAAGTTTTATTTTCTTTTATTTTGAGTCTCACTATGTTGCCCTGGGTAGAGTGCTGTGGCGTCACAGCTGACAGCAACTTCTAACTCGGGCTTAACGGATTCTCTTGCCTCAGCCTCCCAAGTAGCTGGGACCACAGCGCCTGCCACAACACCCGGCTAGTTTTTTGTTGTCATTGTTGTTTAGTAGGCCCATGCCAGGTTCAAACCCACCAGCCCCGGTGCTTGTGACTGGCGCCCTAACCACTTAGCTACGGGCGTGGAGCCAACACTCAAAGTTTTAAAGCAGAGCTGAATAGGGCAGCGTGTGGATATTTCTGGAGTCAGAAAATGACTGAAGAGAGCATTTGAAGGCAGGGGCTGAGGCCAGTGCAGCCATTCCCTCTGTGCTTGAGCCCTGTGCCTGGCTCTGCTGGATGGATGAGGGACCTATGGGGACCAGTCAGGGCTCAGATGGAGAGCTAGGGGACAGGCAGAGTGTGTTGAGTAGCTAAGGAGGGGCATGGGTCCCCTGTTCCACTTGGCCTGAGGCAGCAGTGGGAGATGGGACATTTGAGTCTCTCCTGACACAGTGGGTTTTGGGTGTGGGTGTACCATTGGTGCTTCTGAGACCAGCTGCTGGAAGTCCAGGTCTGGGCCTGCCAGGGTCTGGCTAGCTCCTAGGCCTTGTGGACACGTGGGATCTTAGAGAAGGGCCTTGGAAGGGAGCTGAAGTGGGTGGAGAGCTGAGGGAGCCTGTTTTTTCCTTCTGGGCTAGAGAATTAATTGCTCTTAGTTGAAAGGCAGGAAGTACCTTCACAGCTTCCCCTCCCCCCCAGGATCCGCAGGTCAAGGTCATGTGTGCAGGCATTTGGGCAGAGCTTGACTTTGACATCCTTGCATGTACGTGCCTGAACCCCCTACGCTACTGCATGTGGGCCTGTCTTTCAGAGAGAGAGGCACAACCACACGCCTAGTGCCTATGTGCTTTGCCCTTCTCCCACTGGCTATACCCCAGGGATTTTCCTCCCACGAAACTGAAGGCAGTTGTTTACCTTGGCCTGTCACCCACCGCCTGCCTTCCCGATTTACTAGGGAAAAGCTACTCTGTGGTAGAGGGAGGTGGAGAGAAATACCACCTCGAGTAAGGGTAGCCCCAAGATTTGCCCCCAAGCTAGCTAAGACCTTGCTCTGAGGGGACTCCCCACCACCCCTAGGCCTAGGACAGGGCAGGTGCAAGCTGCTGGGGAAAGGAGGCAAAAGAGTTTTTTCCGGCAGCCGGAAGTGGTAACCGCCTAAGGGGAAATGGGCCTTGTTCCCCTCTATGGGACTGAGCAGAAGGGGAACCATGACTGAACCCTGCTCCCTTCCCCCAGGGGGGCCTGGAGTTGAACAACAGCTGTTGAAGTTCCTCCCCCCACTCCCACCCCTCCCCTGGAACTTCCCACCTCAACTCTCAGGGCTCCTTGGGCTGTGACTTGGGGAGGGAAGGCCCCATCTGATGTCTAGTATAGTGTTTTTCAACCTTTTTTACCTCACGGCACACTCAAACCTATAGTTAAATTTCAGCAGCATGCTTAAATTATGTTGACCAAAAAAAGAGTAAAAAGGGGGTGTCAGTGGCTCAGTGGTTAGGGTGCCAGCCACATGCTCCCGGACTTGTGGGTTTGAACCTGACCCAGACCTGCTGAACAAACAACAACAACAAAAAATAGCCAGAGCATTGTGGCAGGCCCCTGTAGTCCCACCTACTAGGGAGGCTGAGGCAACAGAATCACTTAAGCCCAGAGTTTGAGGTTGCTATGAGCTATGACGCTACACAACACTCTACCAAGGGTGACAAAGTGAGACTCTGTCTCTTAAAAAAAAAAAGGTTAAAAAAAAAGAATGCACATACTGTACTTTGAACTCGCGTCTAAGTAATTTAATTAATGATCTTTAAAAATTTTTCTCAGTACCACACCCGTTGAAAATCACTGTTCTGGCTCGGCGCCTATAGCTCAACCGGCTAAGGCGCCAGCCACGTACACCTAAGGTGGCGGGTTCGAATCCCCAGC